AGCATACGTTTTTTTAATTTTAGTTTGTCTTTTTTCATGACCTCATCCTATCTTTTTCGCTCTTCAAAGCCAATCGTGCCGAGCTATTCACAAGATCCTATGAGCTTCTTTCAAAATCATGCTTTGAAAATCAGGCTATATCCATACGCTCCGCCCCCTCGGTCGAATTCATTATTCTAAATATGTATGTTGAATTTTAGTATTTTATGGCAATCTCTACTGAAATCTCTCTCCTGCTTTATACCGTTTTTCCCCCATCCCTCCCATTGTTCTTTTTATTCCTCCCTACAGGCAAGAACAAACTGCTCACTAAACTGAAGCACAAGATCTCCAAAAGTCAGCTAAATCTGGCTGACATCAGATCACCAATTTTGGGTGGCACTCGAGGGTAAGCCCTGGCTGGTTTAGCATTAATGGACTAAATATCTGATTTTTCACAGCTAAAAACCTCAAATTATATGGTCATTCTTTGTCTATCGTCAATGGACTATCACAATAAACTAACTAGTTCACCTCTTCTCACAAAAATTCATAGATTTTGCCCGTAGGGATGAGCTGGTAAGTTTCCTTGTCTTTTAAAGTAGTCCTCTTTTCTGACTATGTTTGTCAAGTATAATTGCATATGTTAACACCGGAGTCGAGGGAGATAGTCTCGAGAACCATATAAACTAGGTTCCAGTAAAGCCAAACAACAATTTCTCAGGCTGATTCCTCCATCATTTTCCGGTGAGTTCGATTGATAAATCCCTTTATCACACTTTTACTTGAAATGGAAGTGAGCTTAGCTATAAATTTTGAGCGTCGCCATGTTTGGCGTTCCATTCGAACTTGACCTTTGTGTATCTCGTCAGGCAGGTATTTTTATTGACTTGAACCTATTTCTCTCATCGACACACGTCAGTGGTGTTAATTTTCGTCCCCTAGAATACACATGCAAGGCTGAGTCAGCGCATGAAACGGATGTCTAGTTGCAATTTGTACGGCATTATTTGGTACATCTTTCCATTGCAGGGGCACCATGGAGTTGCTGAAGGTTTTCCAGACCTTCGATCAGCAGTTCCAGTTGGGCATTTGCGATTATAAGCATCCATTTGTGCTATTCTACTTCATTCTGACAGCTGACTAGTCACTAGGACCCTGAGCATGCGATTATCGGAACCGCAGAATCCGTGTCTAATAAGCGAGCCCCGATTATGATGTGGTTGAAGAAGCGGAGCCAATATAGTAGTAGTGAGCCTTAGCTCCAGCTTTTGTTTATGCCAACCTATTGTCGAGTATTGCATATGGGGTTTTGACCGATCCCTGCACATCCTCTCTACTAAACTTCCACTATTTTTCTTAGGATACATTGATAATACATCACGTCCATTCATCAGAAGTAACTAAAATGATTTAGTTTGACTAGGCATGTACCAAGGGACAGAACTCATTGACGAGGCCACAAATTGGGCTATTGTCATCAGGTTAGTCCTACTTTATTCATGTTTGAGGCTTGGTGTTTTGTATTTGTCTTCGGTTAGGCAAGTGCTTCGTGTCCATCCCCTCATAGGGAGTAATTTTTGCATTTTAGATATTTTTTATAATTATATTCATAGAAGGTAGGCTTTTTGACTATCAGTAAAATTTAGATGAGGTTGTGAAGGACTGATGGTTGAATTTTTCCACAAGTCTAAAAATAAATTCTTATTCAGGTTTGACTGCGGTTTTGACCTCGCCTGTGTCTCATCGACACCTCCAGCAGGACTCTAATCCAGGTAGTGGAGCCTATAATTTCGAAGTCTTAACACTAAGATAAATTGGGTTTCGATGAATCTTCTTAGATAACATTGTTGTGGGGACTTTTATTTCGTATGAAAATTCAAGAAGAAGATATTCTTAGGTCGATCTCACCAGAAGAGGACGGATGAATCCTGTTGTATACTTTGTCGACCTGAACGTTGTATAAAAGCCAAATGACTGCGGTACAACGGGATTCACTCGTCCTCTTCTGGTGAGATCGGCATACGAATCTCTTCTTCATGCACCTTCATACGAAATGAAAGTCGCCCCCAACAATGTTAACACTAAGCCTCTTCCGTGTTACAATTATAGTAGGAATCTTGTAAAGGCAAAGTTGTATTTTGGCATTACAATCGACTATTTCTTTTATATAATAATGGTATATGAACTTACTCTCTATGAATATATGTAATGTATTCGATTTTACTGTAAAAATACGGATTGGCTTTATTAGCAATCCCATTAGAAATATGACCTGTGAATGGCCTGATTTTCCTGAAAGTTTGCATTTGCTCTGGGACCCATGGGCATTCTTCGCACTGTGGCTTAGTGTTAGTATGTCGCAAAGGTTCGATTCCCTTCAGGGGTGCTGAGGAGACCCAGATCGGAACCGCAGTCAAGTCCGGCCGAGATCAGAATACCTTTTGAGGAGCAAGACTAAGAGAACTTTACTGGAGACTTGAGACCTAATTGTTGGATTTGGGGAAAATTTAATAATTACTTCTTCATCACCCACTGCGATTTGTATTCTTTAAACTTACTTTAATTACTTTGACGCATTTATATTCTTTAACTTTTTTCTTTTATCCCATAATAGCTTCGGGGCCTCAGAACCTAGAGGTTAGTTCCCATTGAGTCCATATTTTTTTGGTCACTTCTATTTACTTTCTAGTAGTTTTGTTTTTATTTAAAATAAATTCAATTTACTGATTATATGTACTCTGTCCGCGTTGCTTCTTCAGCACTAGCACTACATTCTATAATGGAGTCGCCACAAGGGCTGATTTGATAAACAACTGGTCGCCAAATGTCTGATTTATTGAGTTGCTTCTTAGGGTCTCACGCAGTAAGGATCTATGACCGACTAATTGACGGAATTATGTAATGGATACCTGGCAGAATGAGTAACTAGTCGATTGAATGATTGGGTAGACTCATATTTGGATAACCAATTTACTTGTTTACTTAGTTAATGGATTACTAATCCACTGTGTTGTTGCCTGATCGACTTTGGTTGAGCATATGTTTGACTCAAAAACTGGTTCAATGAGATTGCTGATTTAGAATTTCTTGATATTTTAATTTAGAGAGCTTATTTCTGTTGTTAAAAGGATGTATAATGTATAGAAAAGGCATCCTGAAACTCAGATGGAAGTTTATCATGCTGCATCGTGCTCTCTAATGCGTGATTCCTTCCTTTTTCTATAGTACATTCGGCACACGATTCGGATGCCCTACCATCACAAAGTCACATCATGGACCCTAGCTCTATTCCGGCAGACGGAACCATGGCCAGTCGTCGGCTAGCCAACGGCAGCACTGCGGACCGTGGAGCACCCAAGCGGCCGGCCCTCTTGACGAGTGGTGGAAACTTACGGGCATCCCTTTCACATGAGGAGACCGGTTCTTTAGCCAGCTTAAGATTCACTAATGGCGATGGTAAACCAATTTTTTCCTTTTATTTAGTTGCCTCTATAAGATTGCTCCAATTTCACTTACTTTTTTTTACCCATGAACTAAATAGCCTATCATAAGGTCCTACATAATCTATTTATTGCTTGCTTTTTTTTAATTTTTCATATCACTCTTCCATCCAACTTATTTCTCTCCCTCTTAGCTTTTATTCTCCTATTTAATATTTAATTATCATTAGTAAACAATTAATAATAATAATTAGTATTTTCATTAGAAGTAGTTTGACCCTGTTTTGCAAATTGGTTATATTGTTAGGACAACATTGAGTAAGGCACCTAGTCCGGAGTCCATAGGATGCATGATAATTTCCAAAGTCGGACCGTGGACGTAATACATTCCCAGGCGTTTTGCTGGCATCATAGTCGGCATAGTCAGTGAGCTTTGCCAGTATTAGCACCACACTATAACTCGTCAAAAGAGACAAGTGAAGCCGATCCCTAGAACAATTGTCTGCTAAACAATTGTGGTATCTCTCCTGCTGTCTTAAGCTAATCACCAATTATATATTCTCGTTTCACTCTTTCACACTCACAATTTTTTATGGACATGTGGGATGGTGTGTCCTTTTTTAGCGGATTTCATAACAACTCTCCAAACCCAACACTGGCTTTCTCACCTCCTTACCCCGCAATTCTCTTGCCATATGTCTTATCAAAGTCTCTCTTTCGCCACGTAGGATTCGCCTTCTAATTTCCTGGGTCAGGTGTTTCACTCGACCCCTGCCACCTTAGCTGTACTACTCGAAGCGTTATTTCCCACACTGTATCAAGCATTTGATGATACGCATACTCCCGCCTATGTGAGTAG